TCTTCTTATTATTATTATTATTATTATTATTATTATTATTATTATTATTATTATTAATTTAATTTAATTTAATTTAATTTAATTTAATTTAATTTATACCCCGCCTATCTGGCCGGTGAGGACCACTCTAGGCGTATTTCTGAACCAATCTGAATTTATACTCTCCCCTCCCCAGTTTAACACTCAGTGGCCAAAATGTTGTTACTTAGGATAGTAAATTGCATTAGAGTAGGACAGCTGAATCAAAGGGGAGTTGGTGACTTAACTCCTCTGCAAGGTTCCTTGATTCAAATGGATCTACTCTAACTGCCACTTCCTTTAGTAGAGTAAGTGGCAGTTAGAGTAGGCCCATTTGAATCAATGGGACTTACAAAGGAGGTAACTCCTAAATCTCCATTGATCCAATGGCTCCTCTCTAGTGAGATTTACTCTGCTAAGCAACAGGATTTTGGTCACTGACTGTATTATCAACAGCCATTTCAGATCCAGAGAAAGGTAACAGGAGATCAGATCCCAGAATTCTCTGTTCTGGACATTCAGCCTGCCTGACTAGGAGCTCAGTTGTGCTCACCTGGAGATAGGCTGGGCTGGAAACTCCCCTCAAGAACCAGGACAACTGCCTTTTCTAATAGGCAGCAAGGCCATTAAGCCCTCCATCTCAAACTTCATGAGCACAATTTAAGTCTGGTTCTGGCAACGGGAACTCTCTGAATGGAGAATTCGGGGATTTTAGTTCTGGAAAAAAAAGAGAATTGCACAATCTCCCTTGTTCCTTAAAGGAGCAACAGTACAATTTTATTCCTAGCCCCTCCACTCGGCATCCTTCGGTGGCTCTCTGCGGTACCCCCGTTCCCTTTCCTTTCTGGATTCAGAAACGAATTCTGTTCTAATCTCTGCATTCCTTCTGCTGCCTTGATCCAACAGGGAGATCCTGGCACGAAAGGCGAAAAAGGTCCCGCAGGAGACAAGGGCCCAGCTGGGGATCCTGGCATTCCAGGTCGCAAAGGACACACTGGGTTAATGGGCTCCCCTGGACCAGCAGGAGACACTGGACCGGTTGGACCCCCTGGTCCTCCAGGACAACCTGGATTCCCTGGCCCGAGGGTAAGGCCAAACATGGATCTTGGAAGGCTTTAGAACTCCTTTGCAAACATGCTGTTTTTTTTTTAAAGTTGCATACTATCATGCTATGATGATGATGATGTTGTTCTCCTTTCTTTCTCCATCCATCCCAAAACATGCAATGGCAGTTATTTCAGTATGATGATGATGATGATGATGATGTTGTCCTTTCTTTCTCCATCCATCCCAAAACACGCAATGGCAGTTATTTCAGCGAATTGAGAATTAATGCTATCTTTTACCCTGACCGTTCCCAGATGGTTTCTACAAATGGGAAATGCAGTAGGAATAATATACGGAGATGTTCCGCGCTAGAGTTGGATGCACCTCTTGGTTCAGAGGTTTGTGCCAATTCATACGTTCGGCACTACAGGTGCAACGTGTTCCCTTCCCCGACCTCCCCGGCTGGATCCCCCCACTCACCAGCCAGGGTGTGCCCCTCTCCTCCTCCTTCTCTTCTTTGGCTGTCTGGCTTCCCTGCCCTGCCTCCTTGCCCTCTCAGGCTAGGAGGTGGGGCAGGGAACCCTGTGCTCCTGCCCGGCAGACTGATCAAACAGCCAAAGAGGAGGAGGAGAGGAGCATGCTGGCGTGTGCCTCTCCTCCTCCTCCTCTTCTTTGGCTGTCTGGCTTCCTTGCCCTCTCAGACTAGGAGGTGGGGCAGGGAACCCTGTGTAGCTCATTTGCCAGGGAAGCAGGGGAAGGGAAGGTGTGGCATCTGTGGGGCCAGGTGCATGAACCAGCAAGAACCTCTGTCCCCATCTCCACTCTGAACACATTCTTCATCTCACACCCAAACAACAAAGGCCTATTTTGACCGTGCAGAATTTCAGAAGGGGAGTGGAAGAATGAGAGTCTAGCTATCAAAGGAAACTATGGACAGTTAATGCGTGTGTATGTGTGCGTTTTTGTGGGTTTGCTTGCTTATTTGTTCTGCAATGAAACTGGCCTGTGGGGTGTTAGAGCAGGAATAATCTGTCGATGCTATTCAAATCAGCCTGTATTTAACACTGGAGATTATGCAACACAATACAAATGGCAAAGAGTTTTCTCCCAACACCCTATAGAGGGGTCTTAAGAAAACAAATTGGCCATAACACTGCCTATACGGACCAAGATACACAGGTGAGCTTTTCAATGTAGTTTTCTTCATCATCAGTGAGAATCAAGCAGCTGGATCAGGGTAGATCAATGTCTACTTCACCTACCCTTCTGTTGTCATCTAATGCCTCTAAAAGCTCTGAAGTCAGGGATCTCTTTAACATTTTATCCTACTCACAGGAATACTGCTCCTGAATATGGAAGTTCATTTTAGGTGGCACGGTGAATAGCACAGAAGCGAACTTTTCAGTACATTTGGCCCAAGTCTCTCTGTAGGTTAAAAGAAAAGCACCTTGAACAATTTCAGGATTGTGCAAAGAAGGCAGTTCAGGAGACTCCGGATCATTATTGTTCATGCTCCCCATGCTGCTCCTCTGCTTGGTCACGACCATAACACATAACCTACTGATTTTGGTGAGGCATTAAAATAACCCTCCTTTTCCCTTAGGGAGATTCTCCATCACTGGAGACTTTGAGAAGACTCATCCAGGAGGAATTGGGAAAGCAACTTGATGGTGAGAATGACTCCTTTGAATCCTATAAATAGATTTAGATATTTAGTAGGTATAGTGGAGCAAGGGCTTGTGTGGTGTTTGCCCTTGTGGCCCCTGTTGTCTTTCCCTCACAAAGGCTCACGTCGTGTTTTCTTCACGCTGCCACCAGTGGATTACCTCAATCCACAATATAAATGACGCTTATCTGAAGACTTGACTTGTGAACAGAAGTCAATCCACAATATAAATGACGCTTGTCTGTGTGAACAGAAACAGAGCATATTTATTGTAGTGAAGCAGATTGAATAATAACAGAAGTTTCTCAGATAAACATTTTACATAAGCAAATCATCAACACTTCTCTCAGTACATACTTCCTTTCTCTTGCTATATCCTTACTCCCTTCTCTGTTTTTCTAACCAGCTCCATCTCTCTCAGTATCTGTTCCCTCTCTCTCTCTCTAACCAGCCCTATCTGACCCCTCCGTCTCCCGCCAAGCTTCATGTAGCTGCTGACTCCGCCTCTCCAGACCTCTCATAGGTTCATGCAAATCAGCTCATGAATATGAATAGTATGAGTGACATGGACAATCATCACAGCTTGCAAGGTCAAAAACCCCAGGTCTTCCTGCTTAGTAGGGACAGTGACAGCATCTGCTTCTCTTCCCCTTGTTTCTCTCCTTTCCCTCTGAGCATAGGGACACTAATTGAGTCATTAATACCCTTTAGACAAGTAAAAGAGCTGACACTTCTAATGCTCTTTCTTGTTAAAAGGACACTAATTGTTTTTTTCCCCCCAGGAACAATATAGTGTTTCAAATCAGTGCTCTTGTAATCTAGTCCTATTGTACCTGAGGATAGTTTGGTCTTGAAGGAGCAGTGAAGAGACACTGGCTTTACAAAAGACCTGCCACTTATTTGTTGATATGGAAAAATCCAGCTGCCTGCCTGTTTGGGCAGTGTTGGGAGACATCTCCATAGGGATTGTCATGATGAGTTCCTGCAGTTCAACATTTACTTATGCACTGCTGGAGATAGTCCTATCTGTGTTGTACGGAGCATTCATTCCTTTATGAAATCTGTGTACCACACCTTGGTCAATGGGTTCCAAGATACCAAGAAGAACTCAAATCTATTAATGATAAAGTGAAGCATAAAACAGCCTAAAACAACATAAAAGAGCCTCGTGGCGCAGTGGTTAAACCGCTGTACTGCAGCCAAAACTGTGCTCACGACCTGGGGTTCAATCCCAGGTAGCGGCTCAAGGTTGACTCAGCCTTCTATCCTTCCGAGGTCAGTAAAATGAGTACCCAGCTTGCTGGGGATGGGGGGCAATGTGTAGCCTGTATAATTAAAAATTGTAAACCGCCCGGAGAGTGCTTGTAGCGCTATGGGGTGGTATATAAGTCCAAAAAAAAAAATAGCAAAGCTAAAATGTCCCTTCCCCACCTAAATTATTCAGAATTTTGAAAAATTCATTTTTATGGCTACAACTTTCAGAAACCCCTGCCAACATTTATGGGTTTTGCCCCGCAAAAGAGACTCCTTCTACACTCTAATCTTAATTTGCTGGTAAAAATAAATTAATGCAATAGTGCTTATTATTATGCACTACATGGTGGGTTAGGGTTTTCCTCCATTCCTGAGATATGGCGTGGGACATGGTAGCCAGCAGAACTCTCTCTGGTTCTTTGAAATAAGACATTTCTACCAACTACGCTCTTGAGACCAAAGGATTTTCAAAATTTGTACAGTATTCTGGAAATAACTGATGGAGGAAAGGCTGCTTGCAGAAAAATACTTGGCCAGAAATTGAGTCCAGGATTTCCGCCTTCCTTTTAAAGACCTCCATGCATTGATACTTTTTCTCTATGGTTTCCTGCAGCCAGACTGCCCTACCTTATGAGTCAGATGCAGTCATCCCATGTCAAAGCACCTCAAGGTAGACCAGGACCTCCAGGATCACCTGGTAAAGAAGGCCCACCAGGTCGAGTTGGTCTTCCAGGAGAACCTGGAAGACCTGGACAACCAGGTTCAGAAGGACCAGCAGGACCAATGGGGCCGAAAGGTGAGTAGATATTAGGCATGGACAAGCAGTGGTTGATCTGATATCTCCAGATATTTCCTGCTTTATGCCTTTCCTGAATTATGAAGGGTTTCTGTACTACAATATTGTGATTTGTTACCAGCATTTTAAGGCAAGATCAAAAAAGCTTTCATTTCTCCTTCATACCATCTATTTTATCTTTTCACATGAAAGCTGAAGCCACACTGGGAAATTCCTAGCCATGTTCTTCTATATCTGCCTAATTGATATGGAATAAATGATAGACTGACACTGAATCCAAATGGTTCACATTTTGATCGACCATCAACTGAAATGCCCAGAAATTGATGCAAATGCTTGAGAAGTTCCATGAATGTCATGGGAGGATGAGAGGACGGACACAACTTAGTAATTGAGAGTATTGGGCATCATCTAATTGAGAATGTTATCTTCCCAGAATGACCCGTGATTATCGTTCTCCTGATCAATAATACAGCCTTCAAACTCCCACTGTGCTTTCCCCCACTAGGCGAAAGGGGAGACAAAGGAGAGAAAGGTGACACTGGCGTCGGACAGCGAGGTGAAATTGGTCCTCCAGGAAGACCAGGTGAGTGATGGCTTTTTCTTATGTGACTTTCCATGTTACTGTGGTTGGACATTTAGGCCTGGGAAATAGAAACAAACATTTTAAAAATCCTGCTTGATTTGAGGTTGTGGAGCCTTGCCCAGGGATGGACAGATGTCAGGCTGGTGGGACTCACACTGTCTTTTACTTAAGTTCCACCAAACTACCAGCAATGCCTGGTGCAAACGCCATAGACTTGGGGTTAAAGATCATTCTGAGTGCCAGGACTAAACAGCTCACGGTCTTGTCTTACAACAACCAACTCTTCATTCATTCTTCCAACACTAAAATATGTGCTGACTTACTAAATTCCTCTTGATTTGTTGGATTGACTCCAGTTGGGAAGCATGAAAGCTTTGCTTCCTGTTGTATGTTTAGATGTTCCAAGGAAACATTGCTCAGAGCTTGGAAAGAACACATCACATTGAATGTGTTAATGTTAAAATTGTCACATGAAACAGGAAGAACACACCTACTCTTGAGGGAAAGAATGTATTAGAAGTAATGTTACATGATGAAATATAAAATATTCTTCAGATAAAATGTTTAGATAAAATATTTAATTTTAATATTTAGTATTTAGATAAAATATTACTGTGAAATTGCTACTCTCTTCTGTAAGGATAAGCCAATGGACTGCTGGTGCAACAATAGCAATCTTAAGATTAACACATTAAATTAATATACTATTTCCAAGCTGTGGCCCTGCTCTGAAGTAAAGTATAGTGGATCGAACCTGAATATATTCTCAGGGAAGGCAGTAATTATGATTTGACTAATATTGAATTTTATTTTGTTGCGTCTTGGGGTTCTTTTGTTTTCGTCATTGTATTTGTTTGTTTATGGCGAGAGGGTGGGGGTTTCAACTGTTGTAAACCACACAAAGTAGAGGCTTACCACTCAATGGATGGTATATAAGATAAAATGTTTAGATAAAATATTTTAATTTAATATTTAGTATTTAGATAAAATATTACTGTGAAAATGCTACTCTCTCCTGTAAGGATAAGTCAATGGACTGCTCTTGCAACAATAGCAACCTTAAGAGTAACGCATTAAATTAATATAATGTCTCCAAGCTGTGGCCCTGCTCTAAAGTAAAGTATAGTGGATGGAATCTGAATATACTCTCAGGGAAGGCAGCAATTATGATTTTCATCATGATTTTGACTAATATTGAATGTTATTTTGTTGCCTCTTGGGTTTCTTTGGTTTTTGTCACAGTCTTTGTTTGTTCTGTTTATGGTGAGAGGGTGGGAGTTTCAACTGTTGTAAACCACATAGAGTAGAGGCTTACCACTCAATGAATGGTATATATATATGGAATGATGGATGGATGGATGGAGGGATGGATGGATGGATGGATGGATGGATGGGTGGGTTAGTCAATGGATGGATGGATGGATGGATGGATGGATGGATGGATGGATGGATGGATGGATGGATGGATGAAGTTGTTTGTGTCAGGGATTAATTTCTTCTCAGGGTTTATTTTCTCACTAAGAAATCAACTATTTCCCTTTGTTTTCCTTATTTATTTATGTTACACTGTTGAGGGTAGTACTGTGGATCACTAATGTGTTTTTATACAGTTTTTGACTATGGCTTGTTTAGCCTATAAATGCCAGAAACCGTTGTATCCTGAATCAAAATCGCTAGGACAGTCTTCTCTATATTGTCTGGTGGCACTATGGCCACAACACTAACTCACAATGCTTTGTTTTCCTCCAAGGTGTCCCAGGTGAACCCGGCTATGGCAAAGATGGAATCCCAGGCGCAGCCGGCCCTCAAGGCGAAGCGGGGGCTCCTGGCCCCATGGGCCCTCAGGGTCCTCCAGGAGCCAATGGCCAATGTGACCCATCTCAGTGTGCATACTATGCAAGCTTAGCTGCCAGGCCAAGCAACGTCAAAGGGCCTTAAAAGACGACGGCCCCGCGGACCTCTGATGGACCTACTTCTGAAAACTTGAATGAAACCCGGAAGTCAGGAGACCTACTTGGTTTTCCTTCTGTTTCTTCACAAGAGGCCTTTTTAAAAACTATTAAAACCATCCAATGCTGCCGGTCGGTCAAGTCTATTATGATTACAAAGCTATTAATTGATGCTCTTTTCTGAGATGACAAGCGATTTTGTTTTGTTGTGTTTTCATGTTCTCTAATATCAGGGCAAGTTTAAAATGACTCCTTTTTTGTTAACAGAAGAAGTTTTTTCAAAATACAGTCACAAACAATGAACCATAGCCTATTCTATGCAGGGGATCCAGATGAGCACAGGAAAGAAAGAAAGAAATGCTAGTTTTCTCCCTCAAGACCAAGCTAAATGTTCTATAGAGATTCGGATATGAAGGTTGAGGTTAATACTGAACAATGTGGAGGGTCCTCTTGGAAGTGATGGGTGGGTTGAGAGATTCTTACACCCTTCCCTCATTCATCTCTTCTCCCTTGGATTCTTCTTGGCCTGCTTCTTACCTCACAACAACAATGCACTTGTGCATGGTGCTAGATGGGGTTTGTTAAAGGAGAGAAGGGAAGTTCAGATACTTTTCCTCAAACTGGCTGCACCTCCTGCACCCCTTCCACTTTTAGCTTTTCCCAGAGGCAAGACCCCCAGCTTGGCCCTCAAATACCCCCTTGTTGCTTTTGTTTGCTTCTGTTTTACTCCAAGAACTGTCTTCCCTCTCCCCCCTTCTAACGTACTCCTTCTACAACCAAACAAAAGCAAAGGGAAAATGTGTTGCAGTTATGTATGCGTTCAGTAAAATATGTCAGCCCAAACCCAGTCCCCTTTTTTCTGCTTCTTTGGTTTGGCAAGCCTCCCAAAAAGCCTAAGATCGTGGCAACATTTCAAAATGTGTAAGTAAAACCAAAGGAAACCCCAAATGGTGCCATCCTGCTAAGATTTGCCAAGGAATTAATCCTACTGTCTTCTGTAGGATTTACTCTCTATCAGGTGTTTACAAATCCCGTAAGTCGAGACCCCACTGTACTCTCTACCAGGTGTTTACAAATCTATACCATAGTGTGGTGCAGGCAGAATAGAATAGAATTCTGCAGAGCTGGATATGCTGCCTTCTTTTTAAGTTCTATTTTATTCTCTTTTTCAATCACTAGGAGAAAGTCCCACCCTACTTCCTAAGCCAGACACAGGAGATAGAGGTGGGGTGGGGAGAGAAGGACAGGGGCTTTATAGGGTCCATTCAACTAAACATGCCTATAGGCAGAATTCCATGCTAAAGACATGAGGGTCTGGATGACATCTAGGTAGACCAGGGTTGTAGGGTGGCTGGATGTATCCCAATATTGCTAGCACTCACTTAGCCCTTTGTGGTTCTAGGTGTAACAGCTGAATAGGGCTTCAAAGTCAGTCAATGCGCTTTCTGCAACAGCAAGTAAATCTAGAGGATTAAAACACTCCATCCTATTGCTTGACTTTGGACTTTCAAAATTCACTACCAGAGATCACAACCGAGGCCTTATGGATGCAGGCCAAATGTGCTGCCACAGATCTATCAGATTACCTGGTTCTGTTTGACTGCATTAGGCTTTCAAAATTCACTACCAGAGATCACAACTGAGGCTTTATGGATGCAGCCGAAATGTGCTGCCACTGATCTATCAGATTACCTGGTTCTATGGTTGACTGCGTTAGAACTAAATGCCATTTAGCACACATTGATATACCGTGTTTTCCTGAAAATAAGACAGGATCTTATATTAATTTTTTGCTCCCCAAAACCCATTAGGGCTTATTTTCAGGGGATGTTTTATTTTACAATTATGTCATCTTCTGGTTGCTGCACAATGCTGCACAATGGTGGAGGGTGGGGTTTCACTTAACTGGGACTTATTTTTTGGGGTAGGGCTTATATTACAAGCATCCTGAAAAATCCTACTAGGGCTTATTTTCAGGTTAGGTCTTATTTTCGGGGAAACAGGGTAATGTTTACAAAAGTCTTCCTTGTCAGAATCAGTCCAGGAATGGCCTTATTGCAAATGTTTGCTTAGTTTCCTTAAGTCTTTTTTTCCCTGACATTTAGTATCTCAAGCATTAAGGTGTGGTGGACTCAGCCAGTTATTCGCCAGCAATGCTTCCCATGGTGATGAAGAGACCTACAAGTGTCCATGTATGCTAAACAGTCCATCATTTCAAAAGGGAAATTATCAAGCTCATTATGCTGTTTACGGTTTAAGTGATCCAGGCCATACATTTCAAAAGGTGCTAATTTTTTTTCTCCTGTGAGTTTTAGCATTTTGGTGACGAATAAACATGTTTGTCAAAATATTTATAAGCGTTTGATTTGTGGCTTTGTCCCTTTGATGGCCTCAAGCCATCAGAGGGTGGGGGAAAACATTTGCTGGTGTTTTGTTTTTCTCTGCTGTCATTCGTGAATGGTTAATTTTTCAACCCTGCGGTCTGGTGCTAAAGTTTGACTAAAGTGGTGGCTGATGCAATTACTCATGGGATTATTAAACTGTTTACCATCCGGTTAGCACAGTTTGTCAGTGCGTTTGTGTGTGTAATCCCTAGCATAAAAAGTGTTCAGGGATGGGGTCTGCTTGCAAAAACTAGCCTTTGAAATCCTTCTTTTTCTGAGAAATATTTCAGGGCTGGGAATATACACGTAAGGGAATTGTAGATTTTTGATGCCCGTCGTCGTTCCATTGACCAATGGAACATCGTTGTTCCCTTGGCCCATGGGCTTCCAAAGGGAAAGACCCATCCTGCACCTCATGGCTCCTGTCCAAGCAGGTTGTGAAAGGTAAACAAGCAATGACAGATTGTGTGAAGAAGAGACAATGGTAGTTTCTGTCTGGAGCGAGATGAGAGTTCATTCCACCGAAGCAAAGAAATCAATCTGGGCTTGGTCATGTATTTATTCTGTCAGGTGTACTGGAGCTGATGAACTTTTGCCCTCTGGTGAGCCATGTGTTGACCTAGCAGATGTAGCTGAGCAACCTGAAGGTTCTGTACTTGCATTGTTAACACAAAAGGGAACGGTTCAGAGAGACTGAGAAATCAGCTGAGAAAAGCATTGCAAGCGGCTGACGCTGGAAAATGAGACTTTTTCTCCTATTACTGCTAGAAGGATGCAACTGGCCTCCAGCTCCCCTTTCCCCCTTCTCAGCAATGACCTCCAATGGAAATATCTAAGAGAACATGATCCTCAACATGAAGGTGGGAAGAAGCTCAAACTGGAAGGCAAGGAGCTGATGTCAGTGCCTCACCAGCTCTTCACGCTGGAAGGACTAGAGGTTCTGGAGATGAGCCCAGAGCGAGAGAGTTGCCTGAGGTACAAGATGGACCTCATCCCTCGTGAAATTGGTGGCTTGAAGAATCTCACTTTGCTCTACCTAGACTCCAACAACTTGAAAGACGTTCCAGTTGAGATTGGATCCTTAATCAAGTTGGAAAGGCTTACCCTCAGCAACAACAGCTTGACTTCTCTGCCTGAGGAAATCAGTGGCCTCCAGAGACTCCGCAGTCTTCATCTTGCCAACAATGGCCTGGTGGAGCTTCCACCACCTCTCTGTCAGCTAAGGAACCTGGTCTTCTTAGATGTCACTGACAACCGCATTGGCTCCATCCCTGACACCATCCATCAGCTGCAGAAACTGGAGACCCTGCTGCTGCTTTTTAACCATCTTAAGTGTTTGCCAAGAGGAATCTGTTCTTTGAACTCTTTGAGCACCCTCTGGTTAGGACACAACAAGCTCAAGGCACTTCCGTCTAGCTTTGGGCAGCTGGTGAATCTGGACTGGGGTTGGAATTATTGTTCATGCAATTTCGAAGGGAATCCATTGGAGTGCCCACCCCCTGAAATATGCAGTGGGGGGCCTGCTGCCATTAGAGAGTATTTTGCCTCATCAAGGGGACAGAAAGGATCTGTGTGAGTTGTAGAGGCAGGGGGATCATGTTGTGTGAGTCATGCATGTATATGAGGAAACTTATATCTCCTCCTCCAGAGATATATGTATAAGCCTCCCTGTGTCTGTAATCTGCATGTGGGATTACACCATAGGGGCCATTATATTTAGTCCCAGTACTGGATATTTAATACAGCCCACACATCCAGTTCCTGAGGTTAAAAAAATGACTGCATGTGAACGGACACACATTTTGTTCAGTTTTTGAAAAAGATTACGAATGTTTTTATAAATGTTACAGAAAGAACTTGAGATCATAAAAATGTGAATGAAAAAGGAAATCTGAGAGATTCAGGAAGAAAGATTTACACATTTAGCTCTTTGGCTGCTGAGTTAAGATTCCCACTATCAGTGTTTTCTGAGGGGCTCTTCCTTTCTCATAGTAAAATGGCACACAGGTGTAGCATGGTTCTTCCGATAATGGGAATAGGTAAAGGTAAAGGTTCCCCTTGCCAATTTTTGTCCAGTCATGTTCGACTCTAGGGGGCGGTGCTCATCCCCGTTTCCAAGCCATAGAGATAGCGTTTTGTCCGAAGACAATCTTCTGTGGTCACATGGCCAGTGCGACTTAGACACAGAACACCGTTACCTTCCCACCGAGGTGGTCCCTATTGATCTACTTGCATTTGCATGCTTTCGAACTGCTAGGTTGGTGGGAGCTGGGACAAGCGACGGGCGCTCACTCTGTCACGTGGATTCAATCTTACAACTGCCTGGTCTTCTGACCCTGCAGCACAGGCTTCTGCGGTTTAGCCCGCAGCGCCACCATGTAGCTGAACCTAATTTGTTCCAGGCAGGGGGCCGTCCATCTCTTTCTCGAGAATTCATCAAAATTCCTTGAGTGCTTCGTCAAATTTGCAAATTCCACTTAATCATTTGAAATATATATATAGTTCCCTGCCCTGTTTACACCATATGTTTAGAATGGGAAGACCAATGAAGAGTGTGTAATGTGGGATAGATCTATGAACCTTGGGAACTGGCAAGGCAAGGATGCATTCCACTGCTGATGTTGCATGGCAGACATGGAGCATAGATGGTTTTGGTTTAAATTATTCAGTGACGATTTCTCACATTTCTGTGGAGCATGTTCTATCGACACATGCATGTCCACTTGTATATGAACATGAAACATGTATATCCCTTAGAGTCCAGTAAGTAAGGAGAGGTGGTGAGCATTCTTTTTCTCCTTCTTGAATGAGCGAGAGTGTGTTCATACACATTATACTTATTTCTATGTGAATCTATGCATGGATTATTGAGTTCATGCATTACACATTATATTGGATCAGTGGTTCCCAACCTTGGGTCCCCATATATTCTTGGACGACAACTCACAGAAATACTGGTCAGCCCAGCTAGTGTTGAAGGCTTCTGGGAGTTTTAGTGCAAGAATATCTGGGGATCCAAGGTGGTAACCACTGTGCTAGGTGCATAGAAAGGGCAACACATATTTTCCCCATCCTGGGAATGGGATTGGGATTCATATGTAGAATTATGTGGTGGGGTCAGGTGTTATATATGTATATATATATATATGTATGCATACATGAGCACGCACATGAAAATATGATGACCAGGGCATTGTATGGGCCTTAGCAACAAGAATATAGAGGGTTGGTTGTGAGTATCTTTCATTTCACAGTCATCTTATTAATAGACAACAACATGCCCTGCTTTCCCATAAGGTAAAGGTAAAGCTTCCCCTTGACATTTAGTCCAGTCGTGTCCGACTCTAGGAGGTGGTGCTCATCCCCGTTTCCAAGCCATAGAGCCAGCGTATGTCCGTAGACAGTTTCTGTGGTCACGTGGCCAGCGCGACTAGACACGGAACGGCATTACCTTCCTACTGAGGTGGAACCTATTTATCTACTGACATTTTTACATGCTTTCGAACTGCTAGGTTGGCAGGAGCTGGGACAAGCGACGGGCGCTCACTCTGTCATGTGGATTTGCTCTTACGACAGCTGGTCTTCTGACCTTTCCAGCACAGAGGCTTCTGTGGTTTAACCCGCACCGCCACCATGTACCTTTGCTTCCCCATACTTCAATTAAGTCCAAGGTGAAGAAGTCATCAAAGTCATGGGACCTTTTCCATGAAGGGCAGACATATGGAGAGGCTGCAGAGTTGCCAAGAAACACACACACACACACACACACGCACGCACGCACACACACACACACAGAGCACTCTTGGCCACTTCACAATAATAAGACGAGCTAAATAATGCTTCATCTTATTAGCAGATAATGACCACAATCCTGCTGCTTAGAGTAATAAGTTTCAGTAGAGTAGCAAATCCTGCTGCTTAGAGTAATAAGTTTCAATAGAGTAGCACCATTGAATCAATGGCCATTTGGTGAATCATCTGCTCTGTGAGTTCCATTAACTAAAACAGGCCTAATCTAAGTGTGGCTTAGCTGGCTGGATAGCTCAGTGAATTTGATATCTAGCTGTAGAGCCAGAGGTTGGAATTTCAGTTCCCTACTGCACATCTCAAAAGAACCAGCCTCTGTGGCCTTGGGCAAGCTGTAGTCCCAGAAGGTCCCCAGAAGAAAGGAAAGGTGAACCACTTTTGAGGACCTAGAAAACCTTGGAAAGGGTCGCTGTGTGTCAGATTTGACTTGACAGCACACAATTATCATTATGAACTCTGACTAACTTTAGCATAAGGTAAGCCCATTTGAATTTAAGAAACTTAGAGGAAGTGACTCCTAAATCTCCATTGATTCAATGGGCCTACACTAGTGCAATGTAGCTTGCTACCCCAGAGGATGTTGGCCGTTGTGTCAGACTAATAGTCAGGAAACCTGGGTTCAAAACCTTCCTTAAAACCACAAAAACTCACTGGGTGGTCCTTCAAAACCCCCACAAGGGTCTTGAAGGTTGAAAGTGGCACATAGCAACAACCAAAGCTGAAAGCATTGTCGCTCTAAAATGTCCTGCGAATGAGGCAGAAAAAAACATGGACGTTTCCTCCACAGCAGAAGGAAACTTCTGGGAACTTGAAGATTTTCCTCCCTTGTTATCTCACTTTCCCTCCAGCCTGGACAGTTGCAGAGGACATCGATCAATTTTCTGTGAAGAGCAAGTAATTGAAAGAGGTAGACACAATTAAGCCAGAACTCTGCATTCTGCACCATTAGACAGAGCAAACATTAACTTGAGTTGTTATCATTAAAATGTTGTTAAAATCAAATTTTGCTTGGCTTTGCCTTTCCCAGGGTTGTGATAATTGTTTCTCAGTTCCTTTTTGCTTGTTTTCATATTCAGCTGGCGCTGATAAAAGTCTCAGCCTGCAGTCCTCTACAATTCTGGATCTGTTCCACTGAGCTGAAGCTGACTATTTGGAAACAGCTGAAGAAACTGCAATAAATAGTTGCAATAAATAGTGCTGTCAAATCAATTCTGATTTATAGCCACCGTTTTTCAGGGTGTTCTGGGCAGACAATATGCAGAAGTGGTTTGCCATTCCCTTCTTCTGGGGCAACATCCTGGGGTTGTGCCATTTGCCCAAGGATACACAGGCTGGCTCTACTCACAGGAGGCACAGTGGATAACTGAACTCCCAACTTTTGTCTCCACAGTCAGATACCTAAACCACTGAGTTCTCCAACCAGCTACATACATACATACATACATACATACATACATACATACATACATACATACATACATACATACATACATACATACATACATACATACATACATACAGTGG